AATTTCTTGGTATCATTTCCAAATACTTTACAATGCTTACTAAGAATACATTTTCAATTCAGTTTCTTGGATCCATGTGAATCTTAAGCAGTAAAGTAAAAAAACCCATTTCAACTATATCCCCATTTCTATCTATTTTGATAAATTGCCAGGGTTTTATGATATTGCTCTGAGGCCCACATAAAGAAAATTCCAAAGTCAAGCATTCCTTTAAAGAAACTCTATGGTTATCACTTTCTAAAAACAACTTCAAGCCTACAATTAAAATAATGAATAATGTTCTCAAAATGTTTGGTCTCAAAACCAGTAAATACTCCTATTTCATAAGGGAAAAAACAATCAAAGACAGCAACTCCATGATGACCCAGATGTTGGAATGATTATAGACTTTAAAGCAGCCATACATACATATCAAAATTAAAATTCACTGGGTGGAGTCACCAACAGAATGGAGATGAGAGAGGAAAAAGTCAGTGAACTTCAAGACAAATTAACAGAAACTATCTAATCTGAAAAAACACTAAAAGATCAACAGAGCCTAAGGGACCTGTGGGATAATATCAAAAGATCATCAAAGTCCCAGAGAGAAAAATGAGTATTGAAAACATGTTTGAAGAAATAATAGCCAAAAACTTCCTAAATTTGGCAAAAGACAGATTCAAGATCAGCAAATCCCAAAGAGAATAAACAAAAAGAAACTGACACCCAGACACAGCAAAATCAAACTGCTGAAAACTAAAGACAAAGTAAAAGTCTTGAAAGCAGCCAGACAAGAACACATTACATATGGGGTAATAACAATTTGAATGACTATGAACTTCTTATCAGAAACCACATAGACCAGTACGCAATGGAACATTTTTCAAGTGCTGAAAGAAAATAAGTGTCAACCTAGAATTCCACATCTAGTGAAAATATCTTTCAAGGATAAAGGCAAAAAACATTTCTGATGAAGGAAAATACGGAGAATTTGCTGCCAGAAGCTCTGCTCTTAAAAAAATGCAAAACATTCTTCAGGTGGAAGGGAAATAATACCAGAGGGAAAATGGAACTTCAAGAATGAACCAACAGGGCTGGCCAAGTGGCGCATTGGTTAAGAACTGGCTTGGGACGCCAGGGGGCCCGGTTCAGATCCCACATATGAGGGCCAGTGACACCGCCCTCTACAGCTAAGATGCTGAACAACAGCTCAACCTGGAGCTGGGTTGCCAGGGGTCGCCTGCAACAGCGTAGACTGCAGCCCCTGCTGCAGTGGGTTGCCATGGGCTACCGTGTGTAGCAGCAGCCAGCGTGAGCAGCCAGCAGCCGCAATGAGCAGCCATCCAGAAGCCGGCAACTGATCTGCCTCGCCCGGGAAGAGCGCAATGATGGTACCAACTTGGGCCAGTGAAGCAACGTCCTCCACAACTAGACTGGAGAACAAAACAACAGCAACTTATCTGTTCCCTTTCCCCCAATTCCCCAGCGCTGTTCCCATCCCCCAATTCCCCAATAAAAACATCTAAAAAAAAAAAAAAAAGAAATCCACTTTAAATATAAGTAGGTTGAAAGTAGAAGGATATAAAACAATATACCATATAAACACTAATAAAAAGAAAGCTGGAGGGGCCGGCCGAGTGGCGCGATGGTTAAGAACTCGCTTGGGATGCCAGAGGGCCCCGGTTCGGATCCCACATATGAGGGCCGGTGACACTGCCCTCTACAGCTAAGATGCTGAACAACAGCTCAACCTGGAGCTGGGCTGCTGTGAGTCGCTGGCGACG